AAAATCTAAAAGATCAAATCATACTTAAATAGACCAAGCAAGAACAGACCAAAACATATTAGAAAATTTGAGTCCAATTAAAAACATCTTAAGAGTTAAAGTAGCATTAGTTTTTTTTATTATACGGAGTATTAAACAAAGGATTGAACAAAGTTCCTTGTTTTATTCTACTTTCTCATGTTTCTGACATCATTCAGTTGAATGAAATGAAAGATAAAAATCATGTATCTGTTGGAATAAATCCATGAATACTTTAATCTTCATATTGGAACTATCTAGAGAAATAACTGAGCGGAAGCGTACCTGACTCCATTGGAGATGATCTTTAGATATCCAAGAGACGGAGACTACGGTTTGCGTCTTCTAGTTGATACACACCTTCGGCATTATCTCTCTAACGATGGGATGCAGAAAGACGGAATGATGTGTTCAACTAGGGACCATAACCCCTCTATTTATAGAGAATGCTTAACCCTAATCAGCCCATCGTTAATTAGGTTAAGCCCATGAGTCTCTACACATTTGGGCCTTATACCTTATTAGATAACATATTAGCCCATTTAAATTAATATCCATAGGATCACTAATTTTTGGGCCTAAATATAAGATAACATATAACATACAATTAAACCCGATAAATAATGTACTATGAATATTACATGTAGTATGAGTCCAATAATCTTACAATCTCGCACTTGGATGACATACACATGCACAATCCTTAGCATTGTATGTTTACTTTAGGAGCTCCAAAATTTTGCTATCAAACTGTAGTCATCTTTAATCAATCTGGTCCATTAATTATATCAACATAGGAACAAAGAAGTCTTTGCTATATTTGAATAACTAGACCATCAATGATCACATACATTAATATAATAAACTACATGGATCAAGTATAGGTGTGTAGCGTGGAAATAACATGAAGTGTGGTCTGGAATAGAAAGTCTATTTCCAACTGGTCCACCTTCAGATCAATGATATAACTGTTAGAGTACATAAAAATTTAAACTTTATTTTTGCAGAAAATAACCTTAAAATTTAAATTAACCAAATATAGAAACATTACCAACTTCCACTAAAACTCATAATCCTCAACTGACTTCACATTCATTTGAGCAACAAGCTCATGAAACACTTTATGTGGCAATCCTTTAGTGAACGGATCCGCAATCATGGAGTTTGTGCTAATGTGTTCTATAGATAACTTTCCTTCTTGTACTCGTTCCTTAACAACCTTAAATTTGACCTCAGTGTGTTTTGCCTTGGTGAAATTACTGTTGTTCTTAGCATAGAGGACTGCTGATCTAACAAAATCTCGCAGCCATAATGCCATATTGGATGCCTCATAACATGCTAGAATATAGATGTAGCCTGCTTGATACTCCTCCAGGAGATAGCTCCTCCAGCTAGAATATAGATGTAGCCTGAAGTGGATTTCAAGCTATCTTGACATCTAGCAAAATTAGAGTCGGTATACCTAATGATCTCAAGCTGATCCGATCTCCGATATGTGAGCATATATTCCCTTGTTTTTTGTAAATACCGCATGACCCTTTTGGCTTCTTTCCACTGGTCCATTTCCGAATTGCTCAAATATCTGCCTAACATCCCAACGATGTATGCTAAATCAGGTCTTGTACAAATCTAAGCATACATCAAACTTCCTACAGTCGAAGCATAAGGAATGTTCATCATTTCTTTAGATTCAAAACCATTCTTAGGGCACTGCATGAGACTAAACTTGTCTCCGTTAGAAATTGGATTATCACCTGGTTTGCAGTCTTGCATGCCAAACCTTTTGAGAACCTTTTCGATATAGCTCTTTTGTGAGAGTCCAAGAATGCCTTTGGAGCGATCTCGGTGTATTTGAATTCCAAATACATAAGAGGCCTCCCCAAGATCTTTCATTTCAAAATTCGTTGAAAGAAATGTTTTAGTTTCGTGCAATAAGCCTATACCGTTGCTAGCAAGAAGTATGTCATCAACATACAAGACCAGGAAAATATGCTTGCTCCCACTAAACTTGTGGTATATACAATCATCACTGACGTTTGGTTGACAACCAAAAGATATAATGACTTTAACAAACTTGTGATACCACTAACGAGAAGCCTGTTTGAGCCCATAGATGGATTTCTTTAATTTGCCAACCATTTTCTTTGAATCTCCCCAAACAAAGTTTTCTGGTTGTTCCATATAGATTGATTCCTCAATGTCACCATTGAGAAATGCAGTTTTTACATCCATCTGATGAAGCTCAAGATCTAAATGTGCCACTAATGCCATTATTGTTCTAAAAGAGTCTTTCAAGGATATCGGAGAGAAAACCTCTTTATAGTCAATCTCTTTCTTTTATGAGTAGGCTTTAGCAACAAGACGAGCTTTTCCCTCTTGATTTTATATATCCATTTACAACCAATGGGTTTAATACCTTCAGGCAATGAGACTAACTCCCAAAAGTCATTGTCACTCGTAGACTTCATCTCATCTTTCATGGCATTAATCCATTCTTGAGAGTTAGAACTTTCCATGACTTGACGGAAGTTGATTGGATCATTTTCCACAAAACCAATGTCTAGTTCTTGTTCTTGGAGAAAGATAATTATTTCTTCCACCAATTCCCAATTTTCCTCATGTTCTTGGAGAAATACAATATAATCATCCAGAATTGCACTTCTCCTCTCTTGAGTGGATCTCCTTAATGGCATCTCAGGTTCTTGAGGTTGTTGAGTTTGATCCTTATTAATAATTTCAGTTACTTGATTGGGGATGTCTTCGAGATTGTCCTGAACTGGAGTTGTTTCTTGAACATCATTAGGAATAAAAATATCTTGATTATGTTCAATGAACACTGAAGGAAGAGTAACATGCTTTTCCTCAAAGACAAAATCTCTAAACTTATCTCCCTACCCCCAAACTCAATATCCTCAATGAACCGGGCATTACCCATTTCAAAAATAGTCCTGGAAGTGGGATCATAAACCTTATACCCCCTTGACCTCTCAGAGTAACCAACAAAATAACTACTAAATATTCTAATGTTCAGTTTCTTTTCATTTGGCATATAAGGCCTTGCCTTAGCTGAACAACCCCAAACATGGAAATGATTTATATTGGGTTTCTTTCCAGTCCAAATTTTATAAGTGGTTTTAGTTGTTGCTTTAGTGGAAACTCTGTTGAGTATGTAAGCTGCAGTTTTCAGTGCCTCTCCCCAGAGTGAATCTGGTAAAGTAGTATGACAAATCATACTCCCAACCATGTCCTTCAATGTACGGTTTCGTCTCTCAGCAACACCATTCATGCTAGGAGTTCCTGGCATGGTGTACTGAGGAACAATTCCACACTCCTCTAGGAATTTAGCAAATGGACCTGGACGTTGTTCACCGGAACAATCATATCTACCATAGTATTCATCACCACAGTCAGATCTAACAATTTTTATTCTTTAGCCTAATTGATTTTCAACTTCGGCCTTATAATATTTGAACACGTCTATTGATTGAGACTTTTCATGAATGAGATAAAGGTAACCATAACGAGAGTAATCATCTATGAATGTGATAAAATATGTTTGACCATTTCTACATGGTGTAGGGAATGGTCCACAGATGTCTGTATATATCAATTCTAATAGATATGAAGCTCTCTCGGCACTTAATCTCCGTTTGTTTGTTTGTTTTAACTTAACGCACTCAACACAAATATCAGAATTTGAGGAGTCAAGGGAATCAAGAATTCCATCTGACACAAGTCTCTGAATTCTTTGCTCAGAAATGTCCTAAACGTTTGTGCCAAAGTGGTAATGAATTCTCATTGGTTAATTTTCTTTTAGTACCACGAGTACTTGCATGCAAGGTTTCATTATATGAAGTAATTATATCAAGTGAATATAGATTATTATAAACTGATAAAAGACCAGTACAAATAAGTTTTGAATCTTGAAATAGACTAAACTGACTATTTCCAAATGAAAAAGAATAACCAAATTTGTCCAATGCAGAAATAGAAATTAAATTTTGCCTAAATGACGGCACAACAAATGTCTCCTTCAAATCCAAATAAAAACCAGCCTTTAATAATAATGTAAAAACACCGATAGCCTCAACTTCAACCCGCTTGCCATAACCGACATAGATGTATCTTTCACCATCAATTAGTTTTCGGCAGCTTAGGCAACCTTGCATAGATACACTTATGTGAGCAGTAGGATCGGAATCTACCCACCAAGTGTCTTTTGGTACTGAAATTAAATTAACCTCAGAACAAAAAAGAGCTAGACACATATCCTTTTTTCGCACGCGAGATGTGGTACTTAGTGCGATTCTTTTTCTTGTGATTAGTCCCTTTGCAAAAGAAACATCCAGATTCCTTAGTTTCTTCCTTAGTTTCCTTATGATGCTTTCTTTGAGACCCTGAATTTATAGCTTCCGTAATTTTCCTTTTCTTCCGTCTCTTAAAGGTAGATGCCAAATGAGCACTTTCAGTCTTATCTTGCTTTATTCCATCTTCCTCTTCAACACAATGAGAAATGAGCTCATTGAGAGACCATTTCTCCCTAATGCAGTTGTAACTGACTTTAAATTGATTAAATTGATAAGGAAGAGAGATCAAAACTTAATACACGAGCAATTGCTCACGTAAAATAAGCTTTAGTGCACCTATTTTTGAAGCAACGTGGGACATTTCCAAAATGTACTCCCTTATGTTCCCTTTGCCCTATACCTTATTAGATAACATGTTAGCCCACCTAAGTACAATTAAACCTGATAAAAAATGTACTATGAATATTACATGTAGTATGAGTCCAATAATCTAACAATATCAAGTTTTACATTATTAATTAAATGCTTAGCTTGCAATATAATTAAGGATATGAAGTAAATATTGAATTTGTGCAATAGGTCTTGTTTTAATTTTCTAACCACAATGTATGTAAGAACAACCAATGTTTTCCCCTTAATAAGACTTTCAAGTTACTATTGTAAATTTATTTGCAGCCCCGCAATTTTGAAAATATGGAGTGAAAGAAAAGTAGCACACTACTCATCAGCACCATACCTAGCCACATTCATCAACTGTGGCCTTTGGTTACTATATGGAACTCCCATTATTCACCCCAACGGTCTGCTAGTGATGACCATCAGTGGAGCGGGCGTAGCCATTGAAGTTGTCTTCTTGTTTGTATTTTTCTTCTGTTCTGAAAAGAGAAAAAGGTTCAAACTAGGGGTCACCATCCTCGTCGAAGTTATTTTCTTTGCAGCTCTAGTTGCTCTGGTCATTACCCTTGCACATACTTGGGAAACTCGGTCTGCTATTGTTGGTGGGATTGCAGCACTAGCTAGTATTGTCATGTATGCTTCTCCTTTAGCAAGCATGGTTAGTTTCATTCCCTTTTTATATACCTCTAACATAACTAGTATTATAGTATCAACATATATACTTATTTGGGTTAATTAGGATTTGGGATGAGACTCGGTCTTGTTACCTTTTCTTTCAGAGCGTAACACTGATGTCATTTGAGTATTATAAGATTCACCACAATTTTGATATTCAATGATGGTCAAGCAATACAACAACGTAACAAGAAAAACATCGAAGCCAAATCTCAAAAGATTTATTTGGGATCAGCTAACATGAATCGATATAATATACTACCTCCAGGCTCCGCCCCACATTGAATGTCTTGTTTTAGTTTGGCACGATTATTAATAGAAAGAATGACATGAATATGATCTATACACTTTCCTATGACTTAAATATGACACGTTTCTTATGTGGACAAAAAATGACAAAATCCCTAAAAATCACTATGACGGTGTCCCTATCATCGGCGGTGGCAGTGACACGAGCGATGGCGACGGAAGTGGCACGGGCGATAACAGCCACAGTGACATTAGCGATGGTGACAGTGACATTCGACATTGACATGAAAATAGAGTAGTGACATGATCGAATATTTGATTGTCACTTTGTTTTAGTCACATTTTTGTCCAAATGTAAAAGTGGTCACACTTTTGGAAATCAGCCTTAATTTAGTAATATTCATGGAAAAACAGTTTATTAATAAAGTGGTTGGAAAGTAAAATTTGCTATTGATATTTGAGTAAAATATGATGAAATGATACGGATCACATATTTCTTGCCAAAAAAAGAAACATGGCATTCATTTTTGGACAAGTGAACAATCCAAAAAGGGAAGTAAGACAACCAAAATAGAACGAGATAAGTAATGTAATGTACGTAGTGTAATGCAAATATAATGAAATGTAAATAGTTTTTGCAATTCTGAATTCTTAAATTTATTGCTATGCAGAAATTGGTGATCACCACGAAGAGTGTGGAATACATGCCATTGTCGCTTTCAGTTTGTTCATTAGTGAATAGTCTCTGTTGGAGTCTCTATGCCCTTATGCGAATGGAAATCTTTATTCTGGTAACCATTTACTCAATATCAAATACGAAATTTTGTACACTTGCTTATTTATACACATTATACAGGCCTATAAAGAAACGGGAGATTATATTAATAAGTGCCATTTTAGGTAAAAAAATAAATAAATATCATATACTCCCTCCGTTTCTGAAACAAGTTCCACCTTTCCTTTTCGGGCAGATTCAAAATTAAGTTTCACTTTCAAACATTTCCTTAATAACTGTTAGCTTTTAGTGACTGAAAAAATCTTAAATGTAAAAGGTGGTAGTTGTTCGATAAAAAACTGACTGTTTGATTTAGTGATGTTTGATATTCAAGCTGTTAGGACTTATTAATGCTAAAAGTCACAAACTTTTTTCAGATGCTACTTCGTGTAGCATCTCAAAAAAGATCTTTTATTTTCTGAAAAGCTCTTAAAAATTATCATACCAAACATACAACTAGAAGCTTTTAGAGACCTTTTAAATAGTGCAAAAGCTAAAAAGGCGGTGACTTATGTCTGCCAAACATAGCTTTTGTTGTTTTTTTCAGGATTGAATTGAAATCATATTGTCTTTTTACGAATGTCAATGTTTAGGTTTTACTTCAAAATTTAAAAAACGTCCTCTTTTGTGATATTTAAAAAATTTAGTTATTATCTTGATAACAATTTAATAACATACTTGTAACTGTAGCTGAAACATGAGAATGAATATATTCCAAAACACACTTAAGCTTGTAAAAATATGCATAATGTAGAAATTGTTTGGACCATTTTTAGGCACCTAATGGTATTGGGGTGCTACTTGGGCTTCTTCAAATTGTCTTGTATGCGAAGTACTACAAATCTAGCAATTGTGTTGAAGGAAAGCAAGTTCTTGTGGAAGTTGGCTTCACCCAGGGAAACAAGAAGCCAATCAGTGAGGCATGAAAGAAATGGCACACTTACACTCCTTGGATGCATGATAACAAAACATTTTCTACTTCATACATATTACATTTATGTTACAATACATATGAAAGATGTAATAGGAGTATATTTTTCTCTTATGTATTCCAAGTAAATTTTTATCAAAAAGTTGTCATACACTAAATATCAAGTGTATTGCGGAGTATTATTTATGGAAATTTCTCGAGATATGACCTCCAGATTAGAGACACAACTTTGACAAGTAACATGTATCTTATCAGTTATTTATTTGCATGAAAAAAGCAAAAACACCCTTTCTGGGTGAATCCGGTATAGCGTCTCACCCACAATCCGAACAATTGAAAAAAAACTTATTAGAAAATGACATAATCTTTCACTATGGTTCTATAAACACAAATAGTAAAGCATTGCTCCCCAAACCAAACAAATTAGAGCGTCCATACAAGACGTTGGTCCCCAAACCAGTTAGAGGTGAAGAGTCCAGCAACATAGTTTTGGATGTATAGTAGCAAGGAGTTCTATGAACCTCAAAAACTAAAGTGAAACGGCATGAATACATCATACAATATAGGATGTACAGAGTTGTCTGTACATACACAACTATGTAGTATCCTATAGAGTTGTCTGTACAGTTTTTGTGTACAAACAACTTTGTGTGCGTGAGACAGACGAGTGTACGAAATGTGTACATCAAAAGTGTACACCAAACACATTTCATAGAGTTAATTGTCTTATTTAACTGCTATACACAGTTTAGAATTGAACTTTGCACATTTGTTACATGGCCACACTGTTCTACTCAATCTATAATGCTTAATATAATATCTATAACGTTCGGGATTGATTTGATGAGCATTTGAATTTTGAAATTGATTATTTTCTAGCCTCACATTGTTTATTGAAGTCTTGCTGGATAGGAAGGAAAAGGATGAGGATGAAATGATAGTAAAAATGGCATTTTAGATTGAAAAATATTTATATTAATATTATTAGAATTCAGATCGTTACAACAAACTCAAGGTGACCAACACTAACAACAATCGCTAACCAACTAGCACTATCAAATCTATGGCTAGACATAGAAACGGTCATCTCTGAAAGAGCAATAGTAATCGCTAACCACCAAACGGGTGTGACACAGAAGTCACCGGTCATATAGATCCTTCTAACGACATAATATCTAGCAGAATTGTCAATCCTTATTGTAGACCTAAAACCAAAGACATGAACAAAAAATAGAAGAACATAAACAAACTTAACGCGAAAGTAAGACAATAAAAATTAAAATAATTGACAAATACTCCAAGCTTCTTCCTGCAAGTATCCTTGAAGTGCCATCTTGCACACCCTAGCACCTCGATTGCTCCAGGGCAGCGGTTCAGGAGGGGGACGGGCCGCTGAACTGTCTTCTCCCTAGCTTGCTCAGAACTCAATCCGGAAATTGTCAGGCGATTTTTCAATCGAAGGTATCAATCATAGACCTCCAGATTTGATCCATCGCAGCACATCCAGAAACATCAATCATAGAGAAACGGACAATGGAGAGGCAGACCGTGGTAATGACCTCCCTCCCACTATCGCTACAAATCATTCACCGAATAAGAAACGACGCAAGCCGCCTACCGGAAAGACAAAACCTAGACGAAAGCTAGGGAGAAGACCTCTTCTATGCTGCTCTGAGTGTTAACACAAAATTGTCAGGAGCATAGCCAACGCTAAGCTCTCCGGTTGCGAAGGAGCAACGAATTAATATGTGACCACCCTAAACTCCTATGATTTGTTTTAAACTTGAAAAAAAAATGTCGTTAACTTGACAATTTCTATGTGCAACAGTACAATAGGTTGTGAAATTTATTTTTTTGGAAACTTGGATCAAGAAGGTATACTTCCAAAATTATGTAGAAGTCATCAGTTCGTATACCATTGGATCATCCCATGGTGAGCACCATGCTCCACTCCGAAAACGGCGTAGCTTTGCACAACTTTTTAAAAAAAATCGCGTGAACAGTACATGTGTATACAATAACTGTTTTTTTTTTCTTTTTTCTCCCAGTAGCATGAATGATGTAACTCGCGTGTAAAGAAATGTAACTCACGCTGATAATAAATGTAACTACAAGCAAGTGGAAATGTAACTTGTCTAATAAGTATTATAAGAAATAAAACATTGATTTCAATGAAAACAAGGAGTTTATTTCTTAATCAATAACGGGAGTTTAATTAAGTAATTGTTCAACATTGATTTCAATGAAAACATTGATTTCAATGAAAACATTGATTTCAATGAAAACATTGATTTCAATGAAAACAAGTATTATAAGAAATAAAACATTGATTTCATGAATTTTTTGTTTCAATAGCGGGAGTTTATTTTTTGATGTAACTCATGTTATGAAAAAAAATGTAACTCGCGTTGATGGAAATCTAACTTAGGTGCATGCAAAATGTAACTTGTTGAGGCAAGTCCAAATGTAACTCACACATATGAAGATGTTTTTTTAATGTCTTAAAAAACACGAAATACATTTAAAAGAGATAAGAAATATATTATTATATATTGCAAATAGATAAGAAATACATTATAGAAAAAAGTGTATGAATATGAAAAACATTTTACAATAAAAGTATATAAATGTAAAAATATATTACACAAAATATAAGTTCGGTAGTAATTATATTTCTGTTGAAAAAAAGTAAAAAAATAGTGTATGATTATTAATGCAATATACTTATTTTATGTGGATTAATAAATTTTTATAATAAATTAGTTAAAAATAAAGATTAAGTAAAATATCAATTAAACTTTTATTGTTTTGATGGAGAGGAGAAAAGAATTGAAGAAAACAAAAAATAAAAATAAAGAGAAAGAAATAACATACCTCGAGCTTTAGAAGACTTGAGGGAAAAGAGATTGGAGGTCTTGGGGGAAAGAAAACAAAAGGCTATGTAGTGCTCCAATTGAAAACACAACGGTACCGATATACCATGCGCATGGTACACCGCCACACCGGTACTACGGTATAATTTGCCAGAAGTCATAACTATTGGTACCTATAAAGGGTAGCAATTGATGACCATCAGAAAACAATTGATCTCATTAATTTTCCCAAACTGCAAGCACATGAAGAGATTACGAAAAATATCATTGTTGGGTTAATGGCCCAACAGGGATCGGCCCATCGACCCATAAAATGTCCACCGGACGTCCGTCCCGTAAACCCAAGCCTCCTGGCGAGACCCCCTGAGAACATCCCAAGGAAGAGAAGAGTGTCGTCCCCACAGAAGACGTCCGGCCCCAAGGTATCAAACCCAGAAAGGCATGTACCTGCCGGGGATGTACGTCAGGAGATACAGAGTGGCTCATCAACTTGGGTGGCGTCAGGGGTATTAGCTGGAGAGGTACGTCGGATTCAATTCTACTTCCTTATGTCCCGCGCACGCTCGGAACATCAAAAATGGGGGACTTGTGTTGGGTTAATGGCCCTACGGGGGTTAGCCCATAAAACCCTCAAGGGCTGACCTATGAACGTCCTCAAAAGGCACAAGACAACGAGTTACCTTTCCGCAGATTCTAGAGAGGTTCATCCTCTACAGGACCAGGGGACGTACGTATCCTGGCGTCGGCAGGTCCCTTGGCCAGGAGCAGCACAAGTCGCTTGTCTGGCAGGACTTGTATCCCAGCAGGAGGAGGATGAGGCAAGCTCATGGGACGAACGATCCCTCCCCTTGGCTGGATGCAAAGATCCCAGCAGGAGGAGGAGACAAGCTCATGGGACGAACGTCCCCTCCCCTTGGCTGGGTGCTATGATCCCAGCAGGACGAGGAGGCAGGCTCATGAGGACAAACGTCCCCTCCCCTTGGTGGGAAGCCATGATCCTGGTGGGAAGCGCATTTAATGTAGAAGATTTGGTGGTTGGGGTCAAGCGATCCACAGTCCGCCACGTCAATGCATCCAACTACCCATTGGCAGTATAAATAGAAACATTTATTTCATTGTAAAGGGTTAGGAACAAAGCACTCTAATAGTATAGCATTGTAACAACTCGTAGCATAGGCTAGGAACGAACGGCCTCAAGCCTTTGTACCGAAATTAATATACTAAGACTTCTTATTGGGCCTTCATTGCTTGTTTCTCTCATCTTTCATCTGATTCCTCCATTCGAAACCTTTGAGCCGCGTGTTCAGCCTACGGGTTGACAGAATAAACCTCAACACTAGTGCCGTCTATGGAAAAGGGAAACCCGTGTTGAGGTTTATTCCGTCAACCCGTAGGCCCAACACGCAGGAGGGATGAGGGAAGAAGAAACCCTCTCTGCCTTCCTCATACAGTGGAGGGATGGGACCCTGAAGGCCGAGTAACTCACGGAGGACACATGCATAACCCTCTTCACCAGTGTTGAGGTTTATTCCGTCAACCCGTAGGCCAACCACGCGGCCCAAGGGTTTCGAATGGAAGAATCAGATGATAGATGAGAGAAACAAGCAAGGAAGGCCCGGTAAGAAGTCTTAGTATATTAATTTCGGTACAAAGGCTTGAGGCCGTTCGTTCGTAGCCTATGCTACGAGCTGTTACAATGCTATACTATTAGAGTGCTTAGTTGCCCACCCTTTACAATGAAATAAATGCTTCTATTTATACTGCCAATGGGTAGTTGGATGCATTGATGTGGCGGGCTATAGATCGCTTGACCCCAACCACCAAATCTTCTGCATTAAATGCTCTTCCTGCTCGGATCTTGGCTTCCCGCCAAGGGGAGGGGACGATCGTCCTCATGAGCCTGCCTCCTCGTCTTGCTGGGATCTTGGCATCCATCCAAGGGGAGGGGACGTTCGTCCCATGAGCTTGCCTCCTCCTCCTGCTGGGATCTTGGCATCCAGCCAAGGGGAGGGGACGTTCGTCCCATGAGCTTGCCTCCTCCTCCTTACGGGATCCAAGTCCTGCCAGACGAGCGTCATGTGCTGCTCCTGGCCAAGGGACCTGTCGACGTTAGGACACGTACGTCCCCTGGCCTTGTAGGTGATGAACCTCTCCAGAATCGGCGGAAAGGTAACTCGTTATCTTGTGCCTTTTGGGACGTTCGTAGGGCGGACCTTGAGGGTTTTATGGGCTAACCCCAGTTAGGCCATTAACCCAACACAAGTCCCCCACTTCTGATGTTCCGAGCGTGCGCGAGACATAAGGAAGTAGAATTGAATCTGACGTACCTCTCCAGCTAATACCCCTGACGCCTCCCAAGTTGATGAGCCACTTTGTATCTCCTGACGTAC